CCCCCCAAAAAAAAACAACAACAACAAACAACAACAACAACAACACACACACACATACTCATAACTGTGAATAATTCTTTTTGCTATGCCTTATAATACAACATAATAATATCACGCTCGCTGACCCCTCAAAGTGGCCATGGTAAGAATCAAATGGTGTCATTTACTCAGATAATTATGGGGTCTCATGAGTCACCGGATGGCGTTGCCCAAAACTCATTTTGAGGTAGATCTTGATCTAGGTCTCTAATAAAAATTAGGCTATGCTACTCACGTCATCCAACACACTTGAATTGGTAACGTGAAAACGTGGAAGTGTTCTCAACAACTCAGTTGTGTTGTTTTGAGAATAACGCAGCCTGGTGTCTTTTAAAAACAAATATACAGCCGTAAAGTCCGACAATGTTTGAGACACTCTGTATTACCTGCCGAAAAACTCATTTTTTCTTCTTTTCTCACGGTGGAAATTTATGAATATCAGCTTCGGGCAACATGGGGTTAGATGTAGGCCAAACCAGAGAAATGAGCGCATTCTTTTATAACATAGTTTTTTGCTAAATTGAAATACAAACGATGGTTTAAATATTTATCAAAATTAATTCTAGATCTCAAAACGCGTACCTAATGAAAAGATGTCTCATGTTTTTTGTGTTTTTGGCTGTCAGGATGCGTTTTTCTATTGAATTGTTGTTAGGCACTTGAAAATTTTGCATGATATTTACAAGTATTCAAATTTTCATTAGAATTTTTCGTCCGCGTCAAGCCAAGCTAGCGAGTCTGCTTTCAAAGCAGGAATATTTTCTTTACTCTTCGTTTTGTTTTATTTCGTTCGTATTTTTTTCTGTGTTAAGTTACGTTTCCATACTTCAAGTGGGATTTATCTTTTTGACCCTATTTTTTCTTATCTTTTTATTTGAATAGAAACGACAACGCTTGACATAGCTTGTATGAAAAACTGACTAGATCTAATGCAAGGACTCGTGAATATTACACGTGTATTCGCTTTCTCGGGCATTGCCTAAAACTGCACACAGACAGGATAATGATGGTCATCGCCGCTTCGTCAGTCTCTGCGCGATATGAGGTATCTTCCTTTATAGGATTAACCTACCGCCTGTAATCTGCAGCAAGACTTTCGCCAGTTTAGTTTGCTTTGACGCAGCAAACACCCAAAGTTCAAAGAAAGGTAATAAGGTGATAAAATTGAAAAGACAAGGGCTAAAGTACCCACCTTAACAACCTCCTTCTTATCAGAGTGCTTCGTTCGGGCGTCTGAGATTTAAACGATTACTCGTCGTTTTCTGTCCTTTTCACCGCTCCGTATACCGCTAAAAAAGAAACCTGCGGCCTTTAAAATCACGGCAGAGTTCGTACCGTAGCATGTCATATTATTCATCTTCAGCCTTTTGTGCGACCACTTCAAAGCTTTAAGATTACATTACAAGCGAAGTGGGAAGGAGCAGAAGGCTGGTCGTCAAGGAAATGATAAATTTTCGGGGGCTTTTGTTACCCTTGAAGCCCAAACCACGCCCAACGCCGTTTTGGAGCTGTGGCAATGTCCGGGCAGGGCTAGTTGCAGAGTATCGCGTGTCGCTGGGAGACTTGGTGAACTTCTTTCATCCCTCGATTATGTTTACGGCAGCCGTGGCTTTTGGCCATAAAATAC